CCTGTTTATGACACGTAACAGATCTCTTCTTGACACAGCCTGAATGCAAGCTCAGTCCTTTTCCAGTGTTTCCTGAGAACACAAGCAAGTCAGCAGGAGTTCAGAACATATCCTCACCAGACATAAATGATCACAGATCCACTGATTTTAAACAAATTATTCCAACTTTTAATAGCAGAAAATTTAGCCTTCTCTAGAGCGCATACAGCTATTGCCTCTACAAACGTTATTTCACTAAGCGTTGTGAACACACGCTCCATTTGAACCACATGAGTTCTCCATATTAATTCTGCTTTGATAAGCACAGTTTTGGGGAATGAGCAGTCTGAGAAATCAAGCACTTCACTGAGTCTTGGTTGTCAGTATCACTGGCTTAGAGGTTAGGAAAATAACAAAGGAAATTTTGATAAATGCTTTCATGGGGACAAGTGGTAACACTCTTCTTTTGATAATTCCCCATTGGGGAATAGCAATGTCACTTACTATCCATTGGTACTGGAATCAAAGTGAACTGTGTAACCTCATTCCTGCCTGATGGTCGCACTGATGCAGTTTGGTTTTGGCATAACCTTAATACAGTCCACACTCACTGTGAAGGAGTTTGCCTGTGTATAATGCCATATTAGTTTAACACTGCCATCAACTTGGCATGAACCCTAACTCCTAACTTGTTGACATCTCCAGCAAAGCAGATTTAGTGTGGGCAATTTTGTCTCCAGGCAGCAAAACAGGTATTCACGTGTGAGGTCACCAGGCCACCAAAGTGATTATGGCTACCTGCCTGTCTGGCCTATGATTAAAATCACGCAGTTCAACCAATGCTCACATCAGACTGACTCGTTTCATCACTTGGTTGCTGGCCCTGCAGTGGCTAGCACGGATCCTCATCCTCTGAGAAGTCCTGTGCCCAAAGCATCTCGTCAGCCCCACGCTGTTGCGGAAGCCAAACCGAAGGACGAAGCGATGCCAGGCACAAAGCGCTGGACGTCCCGCCTCGGCCCGCTCCCCTCGAGGCCATCCGTCGGCAGAGGTATGCGGGCACAGCCGGGCCCCTCGTGAGGCGAGGCCGCGAGGCGCCCTAACGGTCGCTGCCCTCGCGCCCCCAGCGCCGCGCGAGCCGCTTAACCGCCGCTACGC